GGAAGGTGGGTGGTTCTCCTTGGCTGGTTAGGAAATACTGCTTTTATGTAACTGCTTTTCACACTCCCAGCTATGTGTGGAAAATAAAGTTTGGGTGTGGGCATAATATCCTTCCATTAAGAGAACCTGGGAGTTCAGTGACTGGCATAACTATTGTGTGTGTTTCTGCGTTGAGTAAATGGAAGCCAAACCTGAGAAGGAGTAGGAGTTTCTGCCTTGTGCTGTCTTAATGGAGCAGTGAAAAATCAGTGTCCGTGCTCCTAAAACCAGTGTTACTCACCAGAAACTGAAACCTCTCCCTCTGGAGTTGGGAAATACTAAAAAGGTTTTAAGCGTAGAATTTTGGGGCGAGATTCCAGTTGATCTTTGGACACCAAGTGTGCTGCACCTTCAGGGACTTGTGTGTTTTTGTCTTTGCCTCCTTACCCTAGTGGCCTCAGTCTTTTTATTTCTAAATTTTCAGCATTCCCACTCCACTGACTTGTTCTTGGTTTCCCTGTGATGAAGTGCTTTTCTTCTGGGGTGTCTGGGGCCTTTGTCTACATGCTGCACAATCAGGTCTCATCATGTTCATCCTCCTTTCTCTCCCCTCTTCTCTGCTCCAACGTGTAGACCCCTTCCAGCAAGTAACGGTTGCGCGTGGGGAGCGTGTTGTAGGCAGGTAAGAGATGAGGTGATGGATTGATGCTGGCTCAAGCGTGGAGCGTGAGGACACTACTGCTCTGTTGAACCAACAAGTGACTAGGTATTTCCAGCACGCACCCAGAGGGACAGTCCTACATCTGTGGTCAGATGTTGCTTGCTTGGCCCATCTAGGCATAACGTTGAGAGCGAAGGAGAGCGTGCTGCTGCTTGGTGCAAACCCTGAGGCTTGCTAGCCTAAAATCCAAAGCTCAGCGGTAACCCTTGGTGTACCACACACACCGGGAACTGAAGAAAAAGCTCTTGTGGTACTGATGGAAGCCTCATTTTGAGGCAGGCAGAGAAGCTCTCTGGCCTGGTAAGTCCTAAGCTGTGCTCTCACTGAAGCCCCTTGCTTCACTCTCCGAAGCAGGTGACTTGCTCGCCTGTCTCCAGGGGCAGTGGGCTCCTTGGGAGCAGTGTGCTGGCCCAAGAGATCCCGGTGAGCCAGGGCACGCGGAGTCGAGCATCTCCTCACATCGAGGGCGTAGGTGATACTTGGCAGTGCAGGGATGAGCGTTGCGGTTCTGTGACTGTGTCACAGATTGATCAGTCGTCCTCCAGTGTGGTTTTTGTCTTTAAAAGCTTTTGCCACCACTGAACTGTACGACTGTTTTAACGTGTTCTAAATTGAGAAGTGAGGTTTCTCTCTGTGTGGTCCTTAATAGGAAAATGTAATTTCTAGAAAACGGAACAGAAATCCCTTTGGCCCAGCAGGAGTTGAGGAAGCTTCTAAATACTGAGTCCTACACTCCGACTTTATTGCTCTGTTTTCTTACATCTTGCTGTGTTTTGTGGATTATAAACATCATTTGAAGATAACAATATTCTGCAAAACAAAACCAACCGCCTGTATATTGTGACAGGAAACATAGGTTGTGAGGAGACTTGATTTTTGGAAAATGGCTGATGAGATTCATTTGAGTAACCCAGACAGGTCATGAGTATCCTGAAGTGGCATTGCTTTTGCAGAAAGTCATGGTTCAATGCCAAGGCAAAAACTACCTTGGTGCTGTGCTTTACTGGATTATTATGTGTGTGCTGCTGGGTCTGTCGTGTTTCTTGCTTTTTGCCTTTCATCTTTTAAAATCAATTGCTTCTATTTTTCTATGCTTTTAATTAAAAAGAAAATTATTAACTTTTTCAGTACTTGATTGTGCCCAGGCAAATAGCAAAACTAAAGATTATTGATGTCTATACTGAAAATTCAAAATCTAATTGAAATGCCATAATATAATTTTGCACTCTGCTGAAACAATTAATGTAAATTGCAAATATTCATAGAATCATAGAATGGTTAGGGCTGGAAGGGACCTTCAAAGGTCATCTAGTCCAACCCCCCTGCAAGGAACAGGGATATCTCCAACTAGATCAGGTTGCTCAGGGCCTTGTCCAACCGGGCCTTGAACGTCTCCAGGGATGGAGCATCCACCACCTCTCTGGGCAACCTGTTCCAGTGTTCTACAACTCTCATGGTAAAAGATTTTTTCCTAATATCCAATCTGAATCTACCTCCCTCTATTTTAAAACCATTACCCCTTGTCCTATCACAACAGGCCCTCCTGAACAGCCTCTCCCCATCTTTCTCGTAGGCCCCCTTGAGGGGGGCCTATGTGCTATTCTTTAACAACCTTAATTTGAAAACTTTATGCACTCTTTAGAATGAAATATATTTACCTAAATGTTACTATTTTTATATTAACGTAGTGCCAGCAGGCCACGATGGACCTGGGAAAAATCCTGCTGCTGCCACAGATAAGGACTGGTTTTGATTTGCCTGATTCCTAACGATGGCTGGTATTGCTGCTTCTAGGCTGGTTTTTCATTCAGTGCTTCATGCAGCTTAGTAAAATGTCATAGTTGTATCCTTTCAGTCCAGATAACGTGGAATATGAAACTGGGATTGTCCAGCTTCTCACCATTGTGCATTTAAAGAGAGCGACTTCCTTAGCTTAGGAGAAGGGTGTCCTTCCTTACATTTATGTAGTTCTTTGAATGGAAATTGGAGAGCTGGGATTGTCTGGTGAAATATTAGTGTTAAAACAAATCCAGCAAAACAAAATGTGCTCCTTGGATCATGCCAAAGGCAGCTGAAATGATGCCTTCATTTGGAAGCTTGTCTACATTATACACAGCAAAAATAGTAAAGATGTAAATGCAAAGCGACTAGTACGGTCATTTAGAATAGAGCAGAATTGACTGTCACCAGTTTGATCAGCGTCAGCGTGCCTGCTCAGTGCTCTGTGTGTGGGAGTTTCAAAGCTTACTTTAGTAATTTTAAACTTTTCCCAGTGTTGAACTGAGTCTCCTTGTAGGTGCTGTTCTCACACGGGTTAGTCGGCACCAGGAGACCCTCTGACAAAGTGAGCTGGTTCAGGGCGGTGTGTCGGTGTCAATGGCAGGTGTGTGCTTCCTGGTGCTAGAGACACTGTGGCTGCTCAGTGGTGTGGAAGTTTGGAAAATCAAAATCAAGAGTAGCTACTGTGGTGTATCTTTACCCTAAGACTGGTCTCTGGCTAAGAGGGTGGAGATCCCTCAGTAAAGATCCCGCTGTACATGGAGAATTGCCTCTCACCAGTTGCCCAACTGGTATCTAGTTCTGTGGTTCTCTGGGGGTGTAGATGTTGGCTGTGGATCTGTTTGATTTACTGGGAACTGACTACTTGCGTGCTTTCTCCCTTCTTCAGCCTAGCCTTTATTTCTGCTGAGGTTATTTGTTTGTTTTTCAGATGAGACCCTTTTTGCTCTTCCTGCTACATCTGCGCCTCTGATGCACTCCTCTGCAGGCAAGTTCTTTCTGCTCACCTTTATCTGAATACATCCTGCATTTCTGATCTGATCTCATTAACTCTTTCCAATTAGTCTGCCTTTACTAAAAGTCAGCATGGGTCCAAGAATAGCCTCTCTCACGTTTTTTCAATTTTGACTTTTCAGTTGATCTGTTCAAGATTTTAATATGCATTCATTTCTTTACATGGTAAACTGTTTCATAAACAAGCTACAGCCATCTGTGAATTCTTGGACCCTTGATGTAGGAGAGAAGTTGATACTATTAACAGGTTGACACATCAAAGTATAGTTGCTTTACTGATTTAGCAGAAAGATTTAATCCGTAGTAACTTTCTGCAGTATTTTATATAAGTAAAATTTGTACCTGTAGTATTTGTTTAGTGGTTTTTGTTAGCTACACTGTCCACCAAATTCCCATTTAAAAAAAGTGTCAGAAAAAGACTTCCTACTGCCATACACGTTTGTGCACATACTTGTGCACAAGCACACACACATACCCTCTCTCTGTCTCACCTTGCCACCCCACCCTCCCTCTCTCACTTTGTTAACATTGCCTGCTGTACTTGGATGCTCTGTACTTGTCTGGCATCTTTGCTTTACTGTGATCTTTACGCTGCATAAAGTTGCTGTTTCTCTAGCCTCTTGCACACTTCCCTGCTAGAAGAGGTGAGGTAGAATAGCATACTTTAACTGATACTGTGTTTTCATGGTTGATAGTATTTATGATAGAACGTGGAAGAATCCTTAATAACTAACATCATGTGAACCTGTCATGAAAGTTTGCATTGACTTTAAGAGCACTTGCATTCTCTAACTTTCCTTTCTGTCCACGGTCACAGAAAAAGTTATGGACTTGCAGGAGCAGCCAGGTAGCACTAAATCGCTTGGTCAAGAGGATTTTACTGCAGTCCCGCTTGATACTGCTCCTTCTCTTCCCTCCTTCTCTCCTATCTCAGCTGAGCCCTTTAAAGAGCACGCAGCCTTTGATACACTCTCAGATGGATTACCTGCAAGAGGCGTTTACAAAGAAAATGCAACTGAGGTTTATAAAGAAAGTAAGGAAAATGCAAGAAATCCATTTCTTGCAGAGGGAAATGAAAAAGACGTTTCAGAGATTAAATACTCAGAACCCCCATTTGCTAAAGCAGAAGCAGCCATTTTCTCTCAAGCTAAAGAAGAAACACAGCTAGAGGGCCCTAAAGAATTACCTAATCTGGAGAAAATGCCTGCACAGCAGCTGAAAATGTCTCCAGAAACTCCTCAAGATTTGTTTGAGAAAAACGAGGGAGATCTCTTTTACAACAAAGACAAATACAGAGGTGGTGATTATGGTGAAAAAGAGGCGCTGAAAGAAGACTCTCTTAGGAGGGAAGAGTATGCGGACTTCAAACCGTTTGAGCCATGGGAGGTAAAAGGTGCAAGTCATGGACTGAGCAGCGTGAGAGAGGATGTTGGAAGTAAGATAGATGCCAAACTAGAAAGCAGTTTAGATGACGAGTACGGTGTAGATAAGTTGAATGTGCAGAAGGATTACGAAAGAGAGAGTGAAGGCAGCGCTGAAGATCTCTCTTACCCAAGTACCCCAGAAGCTGTAAAAGAACCTTCGCAGGCTTACATCACTTGTTCTAAATTTGAATCCTCTGTAAGCCCTGATGGTAACAAAGTCAAATCTCCTTCTCCGCTAGAGGAAGGCACTTCAGAAAATAGAACCGATGACGAGAAAAAAATTGCAGAAATGAAAGCTCAGACAAGCACAGAACAAGGTGATTTTAGCACTCAAGCAGTTGGCAAGCAGGAGGGCCAGGAAGCTGACTATGCTAAAACAGAGAGCATATCAACAGTGCCATCTGACACTGCAGCAAATATGCCTGAAGGTCTTACTCCTGATCTAGTCCAAGAAGCCTATGAAAGTGAAATGCATGATGCGGCATGTACGAAACTTGCTTATGAAACAAAGATTGATTTAGTTCAAACCTCTGAGTCAGTACAAGAGGCTCTGAAACCCGTGGCACAGCTCTGTCCCTCATTTGAAGGGTCGGAAGCTGCTCCATCACCAATACTGCCAGATATTGTTATGGAAGCCCCACTGAGCACTGGGACTGCTGGTGCAGAAGCGTCTGCTGTGCAGCTCGAAGCTTCCCCATTAGAAACATTTATTCCTACTGCTAATTATGAGAATGTAAAAGAGGAGGCTGAAAAACCTTCCTCATTCCAAGAGGCAGTGAATGTACCGCTGACACAGGCCCCAGAAGCAAAAGAAGTGTTAGCATTTAAAAAACCTGATCGTGAGAGTAGCCCCAGTCCTGAAGATGTAGAGACTCCATATATATCTATTGCATGTGACTTAATTAAGGAAACAAAGGTCTCTGGTGAATCTGCTTCTCCATCCTTTACAGATTATTCGAAGACACCCATAACAGAATGTGTTTCTCAGGATGTGCCTGAACACAAGGAACTTGTTGAAAAACTGTCTCCGCAGTTCGGAAAATCCGACTTGTTTAACAGCCAGGTGATACCTGACTTTACTGAGAAAGTGAGTGAAGATCCATCTCTCCTCTTAAAAAGTAAATCCACTGAGAACATTGTAACTGATGATGAACATGACCAACAACTGGTGGATTCAGTAGCTGCAATGGGCAAGCCTTATCTGGAGTCTTTCCAACCCGAACTGGACTCTTCCAGAATTGTTGCCACTCTGCCGTCTGAGCCAACACCTGCAAAAATAGCCAAGGCAGAGAAGATTCCTCTTCAGATGGAAGAGCTGAATGCTGTAGCTTATTCAGCTGATGCATCTGTTGCTACGGAACCAAAAACAGGAGAGAACAAAGCACTCTCACCCATGGAGTCTTCCCCAGTCTCAGTGGAAGAAGACTTTGTGATGTTAGCTCATCCTAAAACTGCTCCTGAGTTTGTGGCAGAAGCCAGTGACAGAGAAGCAATGCACAGAGATGAAAGTGAAGAAATGAGTAAGGTGATCCAAGGTGAGAAGAGGCAGTTGCCTTGCCCAGAGCTACCCTGTGATCTGTCTATAAAGAACGTAGAAGGAAAAGCTGAGGAAGATACTAATGCCTTGAAAAAGTCCTTGGAGGCTGTGGACAGAGAAGTGCCTGAAGTATCCATGATGTCCTTACCGGCCACAGATACCTCACCTTTATCTGCTGAAAAAGAGATAGTCAGTGTAATAAAACCCGAAGCTTTTGAGAAGGAAGCTGAGCGAGAAGCTGCTTCTGCTAAAGGAAAGGAGAAACCTACTGCTGTATTTTCAGCAAAGCTGAATAAGTCTTCAGGTAATCTGTGTATGCTGTCTTGCAGTTCACTAATCTGCATAATTCTTAAGCTAAACTTAAGCATGTCATGACTTAATCTTTTTAAGTCACTTTCTGTAAACTTCTCTATGTAGGTCAAGGGTAACAGAAAATGTTAGTGCCTGCACTTGTGCCTTTTTCATATTCTGATTGCTTTAGTACATTTTTTTTCTGGTTTATCAGGGATGGACTCACTGTCTCCAGTTTTCTCCTTCAGTCCTGCTGCTGGCAATCTCGTGATACAGAAATAAGTCGCCACTCACTGCAAGCTCTTCTGTGGTTGTCTACAGGCTGGGCATTAAGGGGCCTTCCAAACTTGCTCTTGATGTGTGATAGCCAAGGACGGAGTTGGTCTGCTGTGTGTACATGAGAGATGTTTGTTTCTTTTCATACACAGTTCAGACATCAGACTTTGAAACTTAGGAAAATACCCTTGCTGCTATTATGTGTGTCTGGAATCTGGAAAAGAACCTGCACGTCTCCGCTCACATGACTTGCAGCTTGCATTAGGGCCAGTGGTTTCAAATACATAGTGCACATGAGAGAGCTTAGTATTCAGGTTACTAGAATAGTGGCCATTAAGAAGCTGAGTATCCTGCAAACGTTAAAATTGGTTTATACACAGCACAGATACTAATTTCCACTTTTCTTTTCAGGTGGGGCTTGCACTTCAGTGTAGTTAATTTTTCTTATAGGAATGTGTAGTTCAAGTAGCACAAAGTTGAAGGAGGGATAAGACCATTGTTTTGTAGCGTTCTGTTCTCTCAACTAATTGCCTCATGGCATTCTGGCTCTTTTAGACAAGAGGAATACTTTGCTTTTTGATATCACAGCACTCTGCAGCTACTTAAGACTTGCACCAGAAGCATTCCCAGTACGAAACGACTGCAGAAAGCACAATTAGTCTGTTCTGAATAGAAAATCAAGTGTTAGTTTGACTTAGCAGTAGTATATAGCAGTAGTGCAGTAACTGCAGTCTACAGTTCATAAAGTGCTACATCCCTAATGCAGTCTTCTACATCAAATGTGCTTTGGAAGGGAGTAACGGGAACATCAGGGTGTTGGTGCAATCGAAATAGGGTTAGGAAAATAAGAAGAATATACAGTTTTTATGTTTAACTTTGCATTGTAGTTGCTGTTCCTCCTGTCCCACCTCTTCTGTTCATAAAGGCAGGCACAAAGAAGAGTTTCCCTTTTCCCTTGTATTGAAATTTCAGTGATACCCATGCTGTTAAAACACTGCTCCACTGTTACGTGGAGACTTCGCTCCTTGCGCTCCGGCTTATAGTGCTGTCTAGAGAACAGCTGCTGGGTATCTTACACTGCATGTCAAAGGGTTAATTGCTCAGAGATCAGACTGCTTTAAAAACAAAACCAAAAAAGAACATCACACTTGGTATACTAGCTTTTTTGTTAGTTCTTTCAACAGGAAGCCTTTGCAGAAGTATCTTTAACCATTGCAAGAATGTAGCAGACTGGGGATGGCAAATCACTGCTCTGGGAAGACTTTTACTTTGGGTCTGACCAGGACCCAGCTGCTGCTCTGCTGTCTGTGGGAAGCTGCTGGAGAAGCTGCACATAAAACCATTTGCAGGAGAGGAGAGACTGAACGGTGTCCTCGTTCTCCCATCTAGCAGCAGAGTGCTGGGACAGGGCACTTGTCTGTCCAGCATTGGCGTTAGCCAACAGGCAGGAGCGGGGCCAGGCGCAGGGCTGCGCTGGGTGGGTGGGAGACTGGGCAACTGGGCAACTGTCTGCAGTCTTTCTGCCAGTGTTGTGCTCACTCTGTAAAGCACTGCAGGTTTACATTTGAACACGCTGTGTTGTTTGGGAAGAAAAATACATTTTTTCGCTTTACTCTGGAGGAACACTTCTAAAAGCTAAATAGATGAGAATACTAACTCAAAATTTTTCTAGGTGTTATTTTCCCCACAATCTGTGCTGTTTACTTTTTTGCTTACTTCTGTATTATGGAATACAGACCTGAACTTCTGAGACCCACCCAAAGAGCCTAATGATAAGCCATGAACAAAATCAGTTGTCTGCTTTTAATACCACACTACTTAAGCACAGTTTCAAAGTAGCATCAAAGAACTAACACATACACTTGTATTCCTCATTCTCAGAAAGGAGGGATAATTCATCACAAGGCCAAGAAGTGGATCTGTGCGTGTTTGGCCTTCTGAGTCTACCTTTGTTGTGTGAGGTTTTTTCTGTCTTCCCATCAGTGGAACTGAAATAGGTTTTACTGTGCCTGAAGACTTCTGGGCATCAGTTGGTGTGATTATACGACTGATGCCTGTTAAAACATTCATCTGAACTGCCTTACTGGTGCACTTAAGGTTCTTGAACGCTTCCTGAACAGTGCTGGCTTTTGAAAGCTAACCTACATGCCAACAGGTCTGTGTACCTGAAAGTGTAACTTCCAACAGTCCCAGTGGACTGCAGGGAGCTAAGAGAAACTCAAAAAGGGTTGCAGATTTTTTTTTTTTTTAATTCCACCATTTCAATAAAGCCAAATGTGACGCTTTGGACAGCCTCATGGGTAGAGTGGGATTTGTCCGACACTGCCTCTTAGACCCTTGAGTAACCTGTTTTTATTTTGTAATGGTACCAGACCACAGGGACCTTGTACTTGATAGCTGCACAGATTTAAAAACAAACAACCAACCAAACCAGAACAAATTCAGACCTGAAGTTAACTATAAAGAAACTCCTCTCCTTGTGAGAAACTCCTGTTCATAGCAATTTCAACAGCAAATACTCCCCTGCAACACCAGCAATTCCTACTGTCTTGAGTATAGTGATAATTTTTTGGAAAGCAAAAGTCATATTCAGCATTTCCCTTTTCCATTTCACAGTACATCCTGTATTGGGCTTCCTAGCAGATAACTGCTCCTTCGCTCTCACGCTCACCAGACTTCAAAACACATGTTTCAGATCTCCATAAAAACACTGTGTATTTAGGAGTGACTTCAGAGTGGACGTTTCCTGCTTGTTCCAGCGCTGCTGCCCCGTGGCGCAGCTCCAGCTCCTGGTGTGCAGGGCCGCAGGGCAGCAGGGACCGAGGCAGGTCCTCTTCTCAAGCGTGCTCATAAGAGAGGGGTTTGATGCCATCTAGTGTCTGTAAATGCGTTGTAACTCCAGCACGTTGTGCCTTTCAGAGCATTGCCTCCCAGGTTTTGAGAAACTCTGAGCCGTTGAAATTAGTTTAATATTCTTAGAGTTGAAAACTAAACATACGTATTTCTGTTGTACAGACTTTCCTCACCAATAACCCCTTACTTTTGGATAGAGGTCACTAATTCTCCCAAATAGGGTAGAAAGCCATGCTTTCCATAAACCTTTTTTTGATCCGTGTGATGTGGAGAATTTTATGTTACTGAATTACAAAATCAAAGTATATTGTAGAAGCCCCCAAAATCTAAACCTCTGACCGTGGCAAAGTTGCGTACCAAAACATAACCACAGTGGCACTTTAAATCTCTCAGCGTATTCATGTTGAGCATTGCAATTATTTGAAAATGACATTGAGATTTTGACTATCAAGGCAGTCAGTTTCCCAGGACACCCTTGTTCGTGGTGGTTTTGAACATGAGGCTCTGTAGACGTTCGTTTCAGATTAAATCTCATGGGTCCACAAATGTCTTGTTTTCATATATGCCACAGGGCACTCTGTAACTGAATTACAGAAATGCAGCTGATTGCCAATACCTTGTGTTTCCTGGATTTTCTTGAGGGGGCAAATTCAGGGGTGAAATCCAAGTGGGAAACGTACTTTGAGAGAGTGGCTGAGTGGTACAAATGATGAAGCTTTTCTTTTTGCTCCCGAATCATGGTGGCAGAAATAAAATACTTCCTGTGATTGTGTAACAGCAAACCAGGTCGTTACAGTTACGGGAAGCTTAAAAGAAGTTAGAAATGGTGCCTCAGGCTGCGTTGTACCCACTTGGTTAATTTCTGTTAGTTTCTCTATTAGTAGTTAGTTAGAGCCATTCAGCAAACGGGAAGTGTTTGGTTTGGGTTTGTTTATTGTTTTTCGCTAGGGGAAAAATACCTTGGAATGCCTCTGGAGTCTCTTTCAGGAGCAGATTATTTGCAAAATATAATTCAACACAAAATCTCGTTTATAATTTCATTTGATTGTATTCTTAGATTCTTTGATTGTTCAGGTTGTCTTTTATGCTACCAGGTAAATAATAATACATGGAGACCTCTGTTCCAGGGTGGAGAGTTTGGGGAGGAGTAGGAAGAATTAGGGAAGAAAACCTGAAACCTCAAGTGAAATTTTTCAGAAGGAAAGACCCAGACCTGCTGTGTTTCATTAGAGCTCTCGTGTCGCCCGTGTTGAGAGGCAAAGGTTGGTGCAGAGGCTAAGGCTGCTAACAGTGCAAGGCCTTCGGGCAGGTACTTGCCAGCGTGGCAGAATTACGGAGAAAATGGAGCATTTGTGGTAAACTTCCAACTTTTCCAGAAACACAGATAGGCAGCCAGCTTGGAATGAGGCTTCTGGTGAGAGGAGAATTGAGTAGTCATCCAAAATGCTCTCCTCTGGGAAGTCAGGAACGCGCTTCGGTGCAGAAATGCTGTTGTCAGTCCACCTGCTCAGGGCGATTCCATGACTGTAGCAAGTAAAAGTTCTCACCCTGCAGGCAGTGCAGGTCCTGGGAACGTGGCTGCGTTCAGTAGAAGAACACGTTTAGAATTTTGTCTTGTAGTTGTCTGGGTGACTCGATAATACTGTTTCGTAAGTAGCCTGTTAGTTGGGTAGTTTTTGTTTAAATGTTGGTGTAGAAACAGGCACGGAATTTCCCTAATGAAACAATAGAGCTTACACAGAGGTTTGTTGACAGTGCCAGTACTCGGTGTGTATCTAGAGTAGGGTTACATTGGGTGTATCTTGCCCGGAATAAGGGGGGTGAGCACAGAGGGCTGGGGACTTCATTTTAGGTACCGTTTACATGGAGTGGTAAGAGTGAATGCTGAGTATGCAAAGAGGAGGATCTTGAGGGCAGCGAGAAACTCCTGCGGAGGGAGTTAGTGGCTCATTTGAGATGGGAGGATAGGGACTGGGAACTGGGAATGCAGC